CTATCTGCATCACTTGCATTAACAGTTGTAATGTACGTTTCTTTAGGCGCATTTTCAGTTATTATTGCTCTGTAATTTGACTGGTTGAATACTGGCGCGTTGTCATTTACATCTAGAATATTCACCTCAATTTTCATATTACCTGATCTTTCAGGGTTTCCTCCGTCCACTGCTGTGAGAATCAGAGACACTCGTGGATGCTGCTCTCTGTCTAGAGGTTTCTGAAGCACCATTTCAGCATATTTAACTCAATCGGGGCGCGCGTGTTGCTTCAGAATAAAATAATCATTATTTGACATAATATAATTTTGGAGAGCATTCACACCTACATCAGAATCATCTGCGCTTCCCAGTAAGAATCGAGATCCAAGTGTGGCTGATTCACTTATTTCAAGATTAATTTCATCTTTCGGAAATGTTGGCGAGTGATCGTTTACATCCAGTATTTCCACCGTAACATGATGTAGTTCCACTGGATTATCAAGTATTATTTCAAACGTGAAGCTGCACGGAGTGGTTTCAGCGCAAAGCTGCTCTCGGTCAATTCTCTCCTTTACAACCAAGATCCCTTTGTCTGTTTTCAGCTCTACGTACTCAGTGCTGTCGCCAGACACGATACGAGCCCGACCAGAGCGCAGTCTTTGAACATCCAGACCAAGATCATGAGCTATATTCCCGATAAGCGACCCTTTCTTAATTTCCTCTGGAACCGAGTAACGAATCTGTGCGTTTATGTTTGAGATCGAACAAGCAGCCATGATGAATAAGACCCTCCATAAGAAAACACGATCCAGTGGCTGTCCTCGCGATTGGTAAATAAGCCTTGCACTTAATGTAATTATTTCCATTATTAATACAGCGGCTGTTGTTCACTAACATAAATATTCACACAATGATTTTCTTCATTTGCTGTTTTTAGTAAATCTGTCTCTCTTCATCGACACGCTTTGGTGTCCGCCACAATAGACTAATCAGCGTCACCACAGTTCCACTAACCACAGGCTGTGACGAATCAAAAATAGGCGTTCACAGCATTTCTGTTAACCAGCAGCGGCCCTTAGAGTTGATAACGATGAACAACATTTGTAATTACTCAGAAATAGTTCAGTCCTGAAGAACTATTCTGTATATTAACCGAATAATAAATAAATAAACCCTTAGAAATGTAGATAACATCATTATATAACCTTTCTAAAACAATAAGAATGATAATGATATATATCAAATTATAAACAAAAATCTTTTGAATTTTTAGATGGCATGAATACCTTTTTTCAGTCTTCTTTCCCCCCTCAGATCTCCGCAAAGCATAATGAAGATTCACATTTTTAAGCTTAACAAGTAAACATTAAATGTTTACTTTAAAATATAATTACATAATTATTATTGCTATCTTTTATTATATTGTATAATCATTCTAATCGTTTTAGTTTAGAGTGTTCTTACCATTTCGGGACAATCATCGAGATCTTCTAATAAGTTTGTGTCTTTCATTGCGCGCTGCATCGTCTCAGTGAAACTCGGGTCCACCACTAAAACATTCTGTCCACCGAGTGTTGAAAACTTACAGCCACTCCTCCTCGAGTCAGTCGTCATGCACACTTCATAATTATACCCGTGCGGCAGAGTTCCAGTGACTCCTGTGTCTGCGTAATGCGGTGGATAGTACGGTATAACAGGCAGATTGGACTGATATAAGAAGCGAGATTGTCTCCATCTGTAGATCTTTACTGATATTATGACAACCACACAGGTAATAAATAGGAAAGAAACTGCAGCCAGAGCTAGAACTAAATAAAAAGTCAGGTTATCATCATATTGTTTTTCATGCGTAAATTCAGTGAACTCTGACAGCACTTCAGGAAAGCTATCAGCCACAGCCACATGAATGGAGACCACAGCTGAGCGAGAGGGCTGTCCGTTATCCTCCACAACAACAGTCAGTTTTTGTTTGACAGCATCTTTATCAGTCACTTGTCTCACAGTTCTTATTTCTCCATTCTGTAAACCCACACCAAACAGCGCTCTGTCTGTAGCTTTCTGTAGTTTATAGGAGAGCCAGGCATTCTGTCCAGAGTCCACATCAACAGCCACCACTTTAGTGACCAGATATCCAACATCTGCAGCACGAGGCACAATCTCAGCCACCACAGAAGCACCGTGGAGAGCCTCCATCTTGCGCTTTCACACAAACATGAACACTTTTCATTTGTTCGTAGTCAAACCCGCGCAGTGCGTGAACCACTCCACTGTCAGCATTTACTGATATAAAAGAGGAAACAGGGGATCCACCCACTGTAGTTTCATCAAGTAGATACGAAACACGAGCGTTTTGGTTCCAGTCATCATCTTGGGCACTCAGAGTAAATAATGACAAACCAGGTGGATTGTTTTCAGTAACATATGTATTGTAAACACTCTTTTGAAACCTGGGCGGATTGTCATTAACATCTGATACTTTCAGATTTAAAGTTTTCTGACTCGAAAGCGCAGGAGATCCTGAATCTGTAGCTGTGATTGTGATATTATATTCTGTCACACATTCGCGATCTAAAGCAGCATCAGTGACTAAAGTGTAATAATTTCGTAGTGAAGAGTTTAGTTTAAATGGAGTATTTCGATCAACTGTACAGACAACGTGACCATTGTCTCCTGCATCTACATCCTTCACACTGACAATGGCAATAGCTGTTCCAACAGTTGCGTCTTCAGAAACAGGGCTTGAAAATGACATAACACTGATAACTGGTGCATTATCATTTACATCAATTAAATCGACTTTGACTTTAGCAGAGTTTCCTAAACCGCCTTGGTCTTTTGCTTCGATATCAATTTCGTATTTCTTTGCTTTTTCATAATCTAGTACCCCATTTAGTGTTATAACACCAGTTTTTTCGTCGATTTTAAAAATGCCGTTTATGTTCCCTTTAAAATTAGCAAAACTGTATGATATTAAGCTATTTGCGCCACTGTCTGCATCACTAGCATTAACAGTTGTAATATAAGTTCCTTTAGGTGAATTTTCTTCTACCGTAGCCCTGTAAACTGCCTGGTTGAATACTGGTGCGTTGTCATTTACATCTAGTACATTCACCTCTATTTTCATATTACCAGATCTCTGAGGGTTTCCTCCGTCCACTGCTGTGAGAATCAGAGACAGTCGTGGATGCTGCTCTCTGTCTAGAGGTTTCTGAAGCACCATTTCAGCATATTTAACACCATCGGGGCGCGAGTGTTGTTTCAGAATAAAATAAATATTTGGTGACATCATATAATTTTGTAATGCGTTTACACCTACGTCAGGATCATCTGCACCTCCCAGTAAAAAAAGAGCTCCAGGTGTGGCCGATTCACTTATTTCAAGATTAATTTCATGTTTCGGAAATGTTGGCGAGTGATCGTTTACATCCAGTATTTCCACCGTAACATGATGTAGTTCCATTGGATTATCAAGTATTATTTCAAATGTGAAGCTGCACGGAGTGGTTTCAGCGCAAAGCTGCTCTCGGTCAATTCTCTCCTTTACAACCAAGATCCCTTTGTCTGTTTTCAGCTCTACGTACTCAGTGCTGTCGCCAGACACGATACGAGCCCGACCCGAGCGCAGTCGTTGAACATCCAGACCAAGATCATGAGCTATATTCCCGATAAGCGACCCTTTCTTCATTTCCTCTGGAACCGAGTAACGAATCTGTGCGTTTATGTTTGAGATCGAACAAGCAGCCATGATGAATAAGACCCTCCATAAGAAAACACGATCCAGTGGCTGTCCTCGCGATTGCTTACATTGCACTACTTAAATATAAGAAAACAAACATGATTAATTTATTAGTGAAAAGAAATTCGAAATCATTTTAAAGTACGGTACTATGTAAAAATGCAGTGCGACAGACAGAACAGACTTTATTATCGAATCACGATTTTAAGGTAACACTTTAAGGTAAGGCTAAATTCCTTCGCATTAGTTAATGCTTTACGAATCATGAACTAAAATGATAAACATTTTATAGCGTTTATTATAGTAATTTAATGTTATCACGTACTAATATTGTTTCTAAATTTTATGAACAACGTATTATGAACAAAAGTGATTTAATACTGAACAATAGTATAATTATATGTTAAAATGTAATAAATACTGTAAAAATGTAATTATTAGTTCAACTTGCGTTAATGGAAAAAAAAAAAAACATTGGATACTAATTTTATATAGGACTAGTGAAAAATGTTCTCCGATATTACCAAGCAAAACTTATTGAATGTAATTTTAATATCACATAGACTTTATATTATTTTATATTTTATTTTTAAATAACAGTTGATCTTACCATTTCAGAACACTCGCCGGAATCTTCCAAGAAGTTCCTTTCCTTCATTGGGCTCTGCATCGTCTCGGCGAAATTCGGGTCCACCACTAAAACATTCTGTCCACCGAGTGTAGAAAACTTACAGTTACTCTTCCTCGAGTCAGTCGTCATGCACACTTCATAATTATACCCGTGCGGCAGAGTTCCAGTGACTCCTGTGTCTGCGTAATGCGATGGATAGTACGGGATAACAGGCAGATTGGACTGATATAAGAAGCGAGACTGTCTCCATCTGTAGATCTTTACTGATATTATGACAACCACACAAGTAATAAATAGGAAAGAAACCGCAGCCAGTGCCAGAACTAAATAAAAAGTCAGGTTATCATCATATTGTTTTTCATGCGTAAATTCAGTGAACTCTGACAGCACTTCAGGAAAGCTATCAGCCACAGCCACACAAAGAATCCTTCTATATGCTTTGATCACAAACATTTTATAAGTTATATATTCAAATTACAAACTGTAGATGATGTTCCGCAATCAAAATATCGACAAATACATCCAGTTTGTTTGCTATTAGCCAGTGACTGTCTCCATTCATCGACTCTCTTTAGTCTTGTCCACAATCTCCTACCAGCATCACCACAGCTCCACCAACCACTCACTGGTGATTACATGCTTTTCTACAAATCAACAGCGGCCCTTAGAGCTGAGAACGAGAAACAACACTAACAAGCTTTGAAATGTCTTAGAACTAGAATTAAATTCAGTCATTAGCTCTCAACAATAAAAAACTGAACATATATACATATATATATATATATAGAACTCTGACAGCACTTCAGGAAAGCTGTCAGCCACAGCCACGTTAATGGAGACCACAGCTGAGCGAGAGGGCTGTCCGTTATCCTCCACAACAACAGTCAGTTTTTGTTTGACCGCATCTTTATCAGTCACTTGTCGCACAGTTCTTATTTCTCCATTCTGTAAACCCACACCAAACAGCGCTCTGTCTGTAGCTTTCTGTAGCTTATAGGAGAGCCAGGCATTCTGTCCAGAGTCCACATCAACAGCCACCACTTTAGTGACCAGATATCCAACATCTGCAGCACGAGGCACAATCTCAGCTACCACAGAGGCACCAGTCTGTACTGGATACAGAACCTGAGGAGCGTTGTCATTCTGATCTTGGATTATAATGTCCAACGTCACATTAGTGCTGAGGGGTGGAGAGCCTCCATCTTGCGCTTTCACACAAATATGAACACTTTTCATTTGTTTGTCATTCTGATCTTGGATTATAATGTCCAACGTCACATTAGTGCTGAGGGGTGGAGAGCCTCCATCTTGCGCTTTCACACAAACATGAACACTTTTAATTTGTTCGTAGTCAAAACCGCGCAGTGCGTGAACCACTCCACTGTCAGCATTTACTGATATAAACGAGGAAACAGGGGATCCACCCACTGTAGTTTCATCAAGAAGATACGAAACACGAGCGTTCTGGTTCCAGTCATCATCTTGGGCACTCAGAGTAAATATGGACAAACCAGGTGGATTGTTTTCAGCAACATATGTAGTGTAAACACTCTTTTGAAACCTGGGTGGATTGTCATTAACATCTGATACTTTCAGATTTAAAGTTTTCAGAGCAGAAAGCGCAGGAGATCCTGAATCTGTAGCGGTGATAGTGATATTATATTCTGCCACACGTTCACGATCTAAAGCAGCATCAGTGACTAAAGAGTAATAATTTCGCAGTGAGGACTGTAGTTTAAATTGAATATTTTGATCAACTGTACAGACAACGTGACCATTGTCTCCTGCATCTACATCCTTCACACTAAAAATAGCGATAGTGGTGCCAAGAGGTGCATCCTCACTCACTGGGGTAAAAAATGACATAATACTGATTGTTGGCGCATTGTCATTTACATCAATTAAATCAACTATGACTTTAGCAGAGTCTCCCAATCCGCCTTGGTCCTTTGCTTCGATATCAATTTCGTATTTCTTTGCTTTTTCATAGTCAAGATCCCCAGTTAGCTTTATAACACCAGTGCGTTCATCCAACTCAAAAATCTCGCTGATGACTTTCATGTTCGTAAAGCTATACGAGACCAAACTGTTTGTCCCACTGTCTGCATCACTAGCATTAACCGTAGTTATATAAGTTCCAGTAGGTGAATTTTCTGCTACTATTGCTTTGTAAACTGATTGGTTGAATACTGGCGCGTTGTCATTTGCATCTAGTACATTTACCTCTATTTTGACGTTACCTGATCTTTGAGGGTTTCCTCCATCGATTGCTGTGATAATAAGAGACAATCGTGGCTGCTGCTCTCTGTCTAAGGGCTTCTGGAGAACCATTTCAGCATATTTGGCCCCACCTTGTCGTGCATGCTGTTTTAAAATAAAATTATCATTCTGTGATATGATATAATTTTGGATACAATTAAAGCCCACATCAGGATCATCTGCGCTTCCCAGTTGGAAACGAGCTCCAGGTGTGGCCGTTTCACTTATTTCAAAATGAATTACATCTTTCGGAAATGTTGGCGAGTGATCGTTTACATCCAATATTTCCACCGTAACATGATGTAGTTCCACTGGATTATCAAGTATTATTTCAAACGTGAAGCTGCACGGAGTGGTTTCAGCGCAAAGCTGCTCTCGGTCAATTCTCTCCTTTACAACCAAGATCCCTTTGTCTGTTTTCAGCTCTACGTACTCAGTGCTGTCGCCAGACACGATCAGAGCCCGACCCGAGCGCAGTCTTTGAACATCCAGACCAAGATCATGAGCTATATTCCCGATAAGCGACCCTTTCTTAATTTCTTCTGGAACCGAGTAACGAATCTGTCCGTTTATGTTTGAGATCGAACAAGCAGCCATGATGAATAAGCCCCTCCATAAGAAAACATGATCCAGTGGCTGTCCTCGCGATCGGTAACAATGAATCCTTCTACATGCTCTAATCACAAGCATTTTTACGTATTCAAATTACAAACTGTAGATGATGTTCCGCAGTCAACGTATCCACGAATACATCCAGTTTCTTTGCTATTAGTCAGTGAATGTCTCCATTCATCGACTCTCTTTAGTCTCCTCCAGAATCTCCTACCAGCATCACCACAGCTCCACCAACCACAGGCGATCACCTTGCGTTTCTACAAATCAACAGCGGCCCTTAGAGTTAAAATCGGGAAACAACAATAATAAAAGCTATGAAATGTCCCAGAACTAGAACTGCATTGCTTTCCATTATTTGATCTTGATTAAAGGATAAAACATCCCTACAGAACTATATTAAGACAAACACGAAATAACCATCCATTGTTAAGGTAAATGTTAATCTTACTGTACACTGAAAAGTAAAGATAATAGTATTGAAAAATCATTTCATGTTAATATTACACATTACAGATTTGCCTTTACAGACAAAAACTTATAGCCCTTAAAGCTACCTAAAGACTTAAAGCGTAAGACAAGGTTCAGTTCGTTAACATTAGTTTGTTGCATTAGGAATGAACTAATAATAAGGCATAATTTTACAGATTTTATTAATCTGGATTCATGTAATTACTATACTATTACTTTTTAATTTAAACGATTGTTCAAATTATTGACTAAAGTTAATATGTCCAACTTGAATTGTTAAAAGTATTACTATATTTAGAAATTTACCCATATCAATAACTGCTTTTAAAAATCAGATTGTTTTTAGTTATTTTAGCGAATGCATTACGTAATGTTAATGAATTGAACCTTATTGTAACGTGTTATAGATTTACCATAGCTTAACATACCAGTGTTACTAACCACAATTCATTGTATGTAATTTTAATTTTATATGGACTTTTTAAGAACAGGTGATCTTACCATTTCAGTCAACTCAGGATCCTCTAAGTGTTTTGCCTTGATCGCGCGCTGCATCGTCGCAGTCAAACTCGGGTCCACGACTGAAACATTCTGACCACCGAGTGTAGAAAACTTACAGTCACTCTTCCTCGAGTCAGTCGTCATGCAAACTTTATAATTATATCCGGGCGGCAGAGTTCCAGTCACTCCTGTGTCTGCTAATTCGGTGGATAGTACGGGATAACAGGCAGATTGGACTGATATGAGAAGCGAGATTGTTTCCATCTGTAGACCTTTACTGATATTATGAGAACCACAGAAGTAATAAACAGGAAAGAAACAGCGGCCAGTGCGAGAACTAAATAAAAAGTCAAGTTGTCGTCATATAGTTTTTCATGCGTAAAGTCTGTGAGCTCTTACAGCATTTCAGGAAAGCTATCAGCCACAGCCACGTTAATGGAGACCACAGCTGAGCGAGAGGGCTGTCCTTTATCCTCCACAACAACAGTGAGTTTTTGTTTCACCGCATCTTTATCAAGCACTTGTCACACAGTTCTTATTTCTCCATTCTGTAAACCCACTTCAAACAGCGCTCTGTCTGTAGCTTTCTAGAGTTTATAGGAGAGCCAGACATTCTGTCCAGAGTCCACATCAACAGCCACCACTTTAGTGACCAGGGCTCGTATTCACAAAACATCTTAAGGCTAAAAGTAGCTCATAACTCGCCGATTTAGGAGAAAATCTTAAAAAATAATGGGTGGGTCAGTCCTAAATTTAGGACTCCTAAATGTTTGCTCTAAGAGTATTTCATAAAGCATTTTAGCACTAAAACTAGCTCCTAAATCTGTGAAACGTTAGGAGTAGTGAAGAGGACTCCTAAGTCACTTAGACCGAACCACAAACTATCCTAAAATGTCTGTTGTCGGCAATCTACCTTGGAATATAAACATTTTCGAAACATTTGACGATAATGAGCTTTTAAAAAAAAAAGGTATATCGCCTTAATCGTGGGGGTGTTATGACTGTTGTAGAACTTGTAGGGGACAATTTTCCTTTGATTAGCCTATATCCATGTTTTCATTAACCAGTACGCCAAGAAGTAACAGCTCGTCTTGCGTCCAGTCTGGTTTTCTTTTACGTTTGCATGTCTTACTATCAGCCATGATTATTCCACTCTGTTAATTAAAAGGCTGTCTATATGCATATTCGCTAATTGTTTGCAAGAAGCATACATGTAAGAGGCTGACAATTAGCTGAACATATACTTGTTTAATTAGTGACTCTTAGCTTGCATTTTAAAATATTTATTTGAATATGGCAATTAACATATTTATTGTTAACCTTTATTTGAATATGGCAACATAAAATCACGCTCTACAATATTTCTATGGGTAAATCTCTTGACAGAGCCTGTCCCAATCAGCCAGTCACTGTGTGCACAATTAGTAAGCATGCTGACACCATCCATAGCAACAAGGTCATTCCCGCCCTTACTCTTAGCTTAAGACTTCTCTCTATTCCTTAGTAAAAGTATGTCTCAGCAGCTTTGTGAATTGGTTTTGAGAGAAAACACTTAGCTAAAAACTTTTACTGCTATTTAGGAGAAGTCTTAATGGTAAGATAAAATGTTTTGTGAATACGGGCCCAGATATCCAACATCTGCAGCACGAGGCACAATCTCAGCCACCACAGAAGCACCAGTTTGTACTGGATACAGAACCTGAGGAGCGTTGTCATTCTGATCCTGGATATTGATAGTTATTGTCACTTCAGAGCTCAAGGGCGGGGATCCTCCATCTCGAGCTTTCACGTTAAAGGCAAACCACTTCAACTGTTCAAAATCAAATGATTTAACTGCATGAATAGTGCCAGTATGTGAATCTACAGATACGAGAGAACTTAGCGATGCACCACGCATGTCTTCATCCTTCAGGAAGTAGGACAATTGCGAATTGGGACCCCAGTCAGCATCATTTGCTTTAACAGTCATTATAGTCAGACCAGGATAATTATTTTCACTAACAAATGCTTTATATTCCTCGAACTCGAATACTGGCGGATTGTCATTCACATCAGATATTTTTACATTAAGCGTTTTGTTCGCGTGGCGCGCAGAAATTCCTTGGTCTGACACCAAGATCGTTATGTTATATTCAGCAAGACTTTCTCGATCAAGCATATCATCAGTAACAAAACTATAATAGTCCGTGAGAGATGACTCAATTTTAAACGGTATGTTTTGATTTATTGAGCACTGAACAAGGCCATTTTTATCAGAATTTGCGTCCTCTACGTTAATGACGGCTACAGTGGTTCCCACTGGGGAATTTTCAGGAAGGGTGTTTGAGAACGACATCAGCTGTATGGTTGGAGAATTGTCATTCTCATCAATTACATCTATGACAATTTTGCAAGTATCTGAGAAGCCTCCTTTATCCCTTGCATTTACGTTTAATTGATAACTATTTTGCAATTCATAATCTAAATGATCAAGAAGTCTATAATCTCACCTGTATCTGTGTTTATCCCGAAATGCTCACTTGCTTCTTTGCTTGCAACAGCAAAGGAATAGGAAACCTGGCCATTTACACCTTCGTCAGCATCAGCAGCACTAACAGTACCGATAACAGTACCAGCAGGTGAATTCTCTCTAACTTCAGTTTTAAATACTGACTGTTTACACACTGGAGCATTATCATTAACATCCAGAACAGTAACGTGAATTTTTACAGTGCCTGATTTCTGAGGTGACCCACCATCAGTTGCCTCAAGAACCAATTTAATCTCATCGCGTTCCTCTCGGTCTAGTTCTCGTTGTAAAACCATCTCAATGTATTTGTTGCCATCAGTCTGACTATGAACCTCCAGTTTAAAACTATCAGTTGGATGTAGTTTATAATTCTGTATACCATTAAGACCTACATCTGTATCTATGCCGCTGTCTAAAGGAAAGCGAACTCCTAAAACGGCATTTTCAGCTATTTTCAAATTAGCATTTTCTTGCGGAAATAACAGAGCATTATCGTGCACCTCAACTGTGACTCGATGGAGTTCAGCGATAAGATCAAAGCTGAAGCTGCAAGGAGTCGTTTGCTTACAGAGCTCCTCGATCTATCCTTTCTTTAACTACTAGAGTCCCTTTGTCTCTGCTCAGATCGACATATTGTCGTCCGCCCTTTGTAACGACGCGAGCTTTTCCAGATATGAGTCTACTTATCTCTATCCCCAGATCCTTGGCGATGTTTCCAACGAATGATCCCTCTGGCATTTCCTCTGTGATGGAATATCTCGCATTGCAATATATGACGTCCACTCCATAAAAGCAGAGAATGAAAAACACAACCTGCCATTTTGAATGTGTGGAAACCATCCATGGATTATGTGCATTGATCGATAAACTTAAGAACACCATCCTGAGAAGCTGTGTCTTCAAACGATGTTGGATCAAGTGTGAAAAGCCATTAAAATCCTAAATCCTCAATAAAGCATTTTTGTTCTTTCCATCAGAAAAACGCTCCATATGCCCAACCTACAAACACGTGAGTAAGTGACTGGCAATACAGAGTACAGAGCAAAGAAGAGCTCTACTCAGATGTTAATCAACAGCGGCACTCAGAGCTCTAAAGTTGCAATACAAGACCAACAACATTACTACGACCGTTACAAGCCAAAATTATGACATCAATACCACAAGAAGAAGAAGAAGAAGAACAATAATAATAAACTGCATTGTATTAGTGTGTGTGTGTGTGTGTGTGTGTGTGTGTGTGTTTGTCCGCTGACCAGTTCAGCACCATCGGGATGAACAGCACCCGAAGAATTCAACAATGAATTGATAGTTTTCAGTCACGTGACTGGCTCGAAGACCTGGCGGGCAAAACATCCATAGAACTGCAGCACAAGCCAGTCAATTTTCCATCTGTTTCTAATCCAAAAATATTTAGATTATCTCTCAAAAGAATAAAACAAAGATATGTGAACAAAATGCAAGTACTGGCCATTAGCAATCCAATCACCCACCGAAATGTTTCAAT